GGTACAGAGACACGCGGTGTGCGGAGAGGACAGAGCCGGAGAGGAGGGGCGGCTGAGTGCCTGGCTGGCGTTCCCAAGCGGGAAGGAGATAAAACTCCGACTGTGCTGGGCCCCAGTTTCGACTGCTCTGAACCCCAGTTCTAGGCCAGACCCCGGGGACCCAGGCTCATCCATAGGGAGCTGGGCTGTAAGGCAGAATCCCGGGGGAGCGGCGAAAGGAGGTCCCGGAGGCGCGCACATTGCATTCAGAGAAGGGACGGTTGGCTGTGCCTCGGGATTGCCCTGGCGAGAAGGAGACAAAAGCTCCGGACTGCTCTGAATGCCACCTCCAACTACACTTCCAACTGAACTGAACCCCATGGGGAGAGCCTAGACTGTTTGGTAGCAGGCGAAAATTGAGGGCACCTTTCTCTCAGAGGCGCTTGCAACCAGTACTGAAGGACCCTGGGGATTACTGAGACTCAGGAACCGCATAGGGCGGGGCTGATGGAAGCCAAGGCTATAGGCTCCACCCTGAAACCCCACCCCATCAGGAAGCTGCGAAAATGCCGAGACAACAAAATAGATCACAAAAGAAAGAAATGGAGGACAAAATGCGACTGGATATAGAGTTCAAATCTACGCTTATAAGGCTTTTCAAGAATTTCCTAGAAAAGGTCGATAAGACCTATGAGGATATGAAAAGAGATCAACTAGAATTAATAAGGAACCAACAGGAAATGATAAGGGATCAACAAGAAATAAAGAATACATTGTCTGAAGTAAAAAATATTATACAGAGTCCTAAAAACCTAATGGAAGATCGCAAGAATCAAGTCAAAGAGTTGGAACATAAAGAGCCAGAAGACTCCTCCGCAGAAGCAGTAAGGCAAGAGAATCGAGAAAATTGAAGATAATGTAAGAAACCTCTGGGACAACTTCAAGCAAACCAACATCAGAATTATGGGGATCCCAGAAGATGAAAGAGAGCAAGATATCGAAAACATACTGAAAGAAATAGTGACAGAATACTTCCCCCACCTGGTGAAAGAATTAGACTTACAAGTCCAGGAAGCGCACAGAACTCCAAACAAAAGGAATCCAAAGAGGACCACACCAAGACACATCATAATTAAAATTCCAAGAGCAAAAGACAAAGAGAATATTAAAAGCAGCAAGAGCAAAGAAGGTAGTTACCTATAAAGGAGCACCTATACGATTGTCAGCTGATTTATCATCAGAAACAATGCAGGCCAGATGGGAATGGCAAGAAATATTCAAGGTGATGAATAGTAAGAACCTATAGCCAAAGATAATCTACCCAGCAAAGCAATCACTCAGAATCGAAGGCCAGATAAAGAGCTTCACTAATAAAAAAAAAAGCTAAATGAGTTCATCAACACCAAACCAGAATTATATAAATTGCTGAAGGGGGTTCTTGCAGAGGAGAAAGTAAAGAAAGATAAAAATTATGAACAACAAATACATAACTATCAACAAGTGAATCTAAAAACCAAGGAAATTAAAAAAAAATCTGATGAACAATGTTAACTGTTGAATATAATAGAATCAGAGGTATGGAAGGGGAGTGAACTGACGATTCTTGGGGAAAAGGGGAGGGAGGGATGTGGGAAGAGACTGAACATAAACTGTGCACCTATGGATAAGGACAATGCAGGGTGGGGAAAGGGCAGAGGGTGGGGTGGGAACCTGGTGGAGGAGAGCAATGGAGGGGGGTGGGGGGAAGGAACATTTGTAATAATATGAACAATAAAAATTTATTTTTAAAAAAATTTAAGCAAAAAAAAAAAAAAAAGAAGAAGAAGAAGAAGAAGAAGCACAGATAATCATCATTTGGAAAGCTTTGGTATGCTTTGCTAAAGACAGTGTTGGTCAAAGCTCAGAGCACTCCAGATACAAAATTGATTTTGTTTACATCAACATCTATACAGTTTCTCTTCCCAACTATTTTTTCCATAGACAACCAAATTCATAAAGCTTCTTGTGTATTTTATGCACAGATAAGCAAAAAAAAGTACATATCTTCTGAGCAGGGGGTGGGAGGTGTGGAGGCATTTGCTACACACCATTCTTGCTTTTTCTTTTTTCTTTATTTATTTTTTTATCTAATGTATTTTGGAAATCTTGCCATAAAAAGTACATAAAATGTTTCCTCCTTTTTCTGATTGCATTCCAATCTCCTATAGATGCAGCATTTATTACTAGAAATTATAAATATTGCTGAAATGATTTGCATATTGAACTATGAGTCGTCTACAAGCTAAATTCTTAGAATTGGAATAATTTATTCAAAGGCATGTATAAAAAAATTTTCAATCTATATTATGAGAAGCAGAATAGCATTGATATTAAGAGCTAAAACTCTAGGCTGCTTAAATCCTTGCTTAGTCACTGACTAGTTCTGTGGCCTTGGGCAAGTCCTTCTGCCCGTTTCCTTATCTGAAAAATGAAGATGGTGATAATAATAGCACCTATCATAGTATTGTTATAAAGAATACATGAAATAGCCCTAGTCAGTGTGACTCGGTTGGGCATTGTCCTATGCACTGGAAGATTGCCAATTCAATTCCTGGTCAAAGCACACGGCTGGGTTGTGGGCTTGATCCCTAGTAGTTGTACAGGAGGCAGTCCATTGATGTCTTGCTTTCACATCAATGTTTCTCTCTCTCTCTCTCCCTCTCTCTCTCTTTCTTCCTTTCTACAAAAAAAAAGTAGCCTGGTCCTAGCCAGTTTGGCTCAGTGGATAAACCATTGGCCTTCAGACTGAAGGGTCCGAGTTCGATTCCAGTCAAGGGCACATGTCTGGGTTGTGGGCTTGATCCCCATTAGGGGGCATACAGGAGAAGGCAGCTAATTAATAACTCTCACTCATTGATATTTCTATTTCTCCCTCTCTCTTCCTCTCTGAAATCAATAAAAAATATATTTTTAAAAAATTCAGCAGCATGGCTCAGTGGTTGAGCTTTGACCTATGAACGAGGAAGTCATGATTTGATTCCTGGTCAGGGTACATACCTGGGGTTGCAGGCTTTATCCCCCAAGTGCAGGAGGCAACCAATCAATGATTCTTTCTCATTACTGATGTTTCTCTCTCTCTTTCCCTCTCCCTTCCTCTCTGAAATCAATAAAAAAATATATTTTTTTTAAATGTTAAAAGGTCTTCTTTAAGAAGAAAAAGAAGGGAAGAAAAGATTTTAAAAAATATGAATAAAGTGGTAATATATACATATGTACTAAAAACACACACACACACAAAAAAAATAACAAACGAGCAGAGCAAAAATAGACTCATAAATACAGAGAATATTCTGACGGTTGCCAGATGGGAGAGGGGTCTGGGGGATAGGTGAAAAAGGTGAAGGGATTAAGAAGTACAAACTGGTTGTTACAGAATAGTCATGGGGATGCAAAGTACAGCCTTAGGGAACACAGTCAATAATATTCTAATGACTATGTGACTATATAGGTCAAATGGGTGTGAGACTTATTGGGATGATCACTCAGTAAGCTATGTAATGTCTAATCACTGGGGTGTATTCATGAAACTAATATAATAATGTATGCCAACTGTAATTGGAGGAAAAAAGAGAGAGAATATATTAAAAAAAAAATAGCTCCTCATCTTCCATTTCAGGGCTCCAGTGCCTGATTCAACCTACCTGTCAAATTCTATTCTTAAGAGGCCCCACACGGCACGCCTCTTCAATTTGGAATGGATACAATGGAATATTGTTCAGTCATAAACAGGAATGAAGTTTTGATGCCTGCTACAACATGGATGAACCTCAAAACATTATGCTAGATGAAACAAGCCACACACACACACACACACACACACAGAAAAGTATAAATTTACGTATGTGAAATAGACATATTCATAGAGACAGAGTAGATTAGCGGTTACCAGGAGCTGGGGGGAGGAGGAAGTGGGGAGTTGCTGTTTCATGGGTGCAGTTTCTGTTTTGGGTGATAAAAATGTTTTGTAAATACATAGGGATGATGGCTATATAACTTGTGAGTATATATATATATATTTTAAATATATTTTATTGATTTTTTACAAAGAGGAAGGGAGAGAGATAGAGAGCTAGAAACATCGATGAGAGAGAAACATCGACCAGCTGCCTCTTGCACACCCCCTACCGGGGATGTGCCCACAACCAATGTACATGCCCTTGCCCGGAATCGAACCTGGGACCTTTCAGTCCGCAGACCGATGCTCTACCACTGAGCCAAACCAGCTTTGGCACTTGTGAGTATATTTAATACTCTTAATTATACCCTTCAATGGTTAAAATAACTTTTGTTATATACATTTGAATATATCGATAATAAAACCAATTTGTTAAAACACACACACACACACACACACACACACACACATCATATAGCTAGAAAGTGGTCAAGCTAGGACTTGAACCCAAATTTATCTGACTCTAGGGCCCATGCTCTCCACCTTAGGGCTTCCCTGCCTCTGGAAAGGACAGCAAGACCCGAATCAGGACATCTGCATTCTTGCCTTGCTGTGTCGTGTGACTTGTGCAGTCTGACCTTTTAAGGTCTCACTTTCCTCAACGGTTACCTTGTAAGACGAGATAAATGTCATTGATGGTTCCTAGCAGTCATTTGTCTGGTGATCTGGATTTTACAGCATGGAATGCCCCAAACCTGATTCCTGGCCCAGATTACCATTTGCTTCTGGCACACACTGGGAATAGGGAGGGGGGCCGGCTGTCCACCCCTCACTTTGCTCCTCCCTGAGAGGTTTGCCCTGGAATTAAGCCAGCCCTTGAGGAGGCCTCCACTCCCCCTTTCTTTCCCCGTCCTGGGAAAGGGTTCGGGTCTGGCTGTACTCCAGGATAAACTTCCACAAGGCAAGAGATAACACAAAGTCAAGGTGAAGATCACAGCAGCCCTTAAAAAGGCCTCCTTGCACCCTAGAGTGGCCACAGCTCTTCCTCTCCAGAGCTGTCCATCCTGCCTGCCGGCGCCTGGCCACCATGTGGGAGCTCTTGGCTCTCTTGCTGCTCACCCTAGCCTATTTTCTTTGGCCCAAGGTAAAGAACCCCGGTGCCAAATACCCCAAAAGCCTCCCATCCCTGCCCTTGGTGGGCAGCCTGCCATTCCTCCCCAGAGATGGCCATCCGCACGTGAACTTCTTCAAGCTGCAGGAGAAATACGGCCCCATCTATTCTTTTCGTATGGGTAGCAAGACTACAGTGATGATCGGCCACCACCAGCTGGCCAAGGAGGTGCTTATCAAGAAGGGCAAGGAATTCTCCGGGCGGCCCCAAGTGGTAAGCAGGGCCCATTATCCCACCTCTCTCCCACCCTTGTTCAGTTCTTGGGCCAAGACCGTGCCTAGAAGGATCCTTTCAGCTTCAAACATCTTGTAATTCTTCCCCAAAGCAGACTATCAGGGCTCTGGGTCAGGGAGCAACTCCCCATTGTTCTACCCAGCCTCTAAACTAGGCAGGAAGAACTAAAGGAAGGCCTCATTTTCTGAACTGCTCAGAAGGTGAAGTGGGGTGGGAGCAATGGCCTGAGGGGGTCAGGGAGCCCTCACTCCTGTCCTCTCATCCTGGGACTGGAAAATGATCTCTCGGAGCCTAACACTTCCCTAACTAACTGAGATGGTGCATGTAAATATCCCAGCCCAGTGCAGACTAGTTTTATGGACGTTCCTCTTCATGTGAAAAATGGGGATAGTGGATACTGTCCTCTGTGGGAAGGTGCAAAGGGTTGCCTGTCCTGGGAGGGCTGGGGTTGCTGTTTCTCTGGAGCTGTCCCCAGCTGCTCCAGCTCACGGGAGGGAGGGAGTGCTGACCCACAGTAGCATTTTTAAGATGCTGATGGTCCATCCTACAGAGCTTTAGGGGGTGCTCCTGGGGGGACGGGGAGCTCACATCCAGAAACACTGCGAACGCCCATCCCAGCCTTCCTGCTGCTGAGTGCTCCCCTGAACACCCCAGGTAGAGCCCCCCCAGTCATGCATCTCTGATCAGGCCAAGGGTTGACTGGTTTTCCCTTGGACCAGTCAGCCAGGTTTGCTAGCCTACTACCTGCCTCCCAACTCTAGTGAGCTCTTCTCTTCAGTGGAAAGAGGAAGGAGGAGGCTAGTTGTTTGGGGTTTACGGGTCAGGGGAGGGCAGAGTGAAGGCTTTGGACCCTCGGGGGGTTTTTTTGGGTGCCTCTGGGAAGAGACTGTTTGACCTAAGTGTAGAGTGAGTGGACAAGACATCTGCACTCTCAGACGTGGCTGTGTGGGAGGACATGACCTTGTAATGGAAGGGTGCACAAGAAGGAGATAAACTCCGGTGCCTTTAGCACTTCCCGGGGGGCCCAGGGCAAGGTAGAGGTATGGGTAGTCCTCAGTCTCTACAAGTCCCCATCCCCACTCCTGTCCCCGAGACAGGCCCAATTCAGAGACCTTGTCCCATCCACAGCTACCCTCCCCACTCAGAAACAGATGAGAACCAAGAATCCCATGCATTCTGAGTGTTCTTCTCTCTCTCTCTCTCTCTCTCTCTCTCTCTCTCTCTCTCTCTCTCTCTCTCTCTCTCTCTCTCTCTGATGGAATTGGGAATTAGAAGGGCATAGGGCTTGACCTACCAAGGCCTCACTGTCATGGAGAAGCAGGGATGCCCCACAGCATGGCGGGTGACTGCCTTATCCCTTAGGGCATGGGAATGGGTGCAGGAGACCCGGGGCAAGAGTGGATGGGTAACTAACTCCTACAGCCTTTCCTGTTTTCCAAAGACGACTCTAGATATCCTGTCAGACAAGCAAAAGGGCGTTGCCTTTGCCGACTATGGTGCCGGTTGGCAGCTGCATCGGAAGCTGGTGCTGGCCACCTTTGCCCTGTTCAAGGATGGCAACCTGAAGCTGGAGAAGATCTGTAAGTGCCCTGCCAGCCCCTAGGGCTCTGGAGGGAGAAGAGGGCTGGGGAGGGAAGAAGGAACAGGGAATGGTTCAACCTAGCGCTTTCTTGGCTACGGCTGCCACCTAGTGGCCATCTGCTCCCTGTCCCTGACTGAGGTGGAACTAGAGATGGGTTAGGGTGCTGCTTAATTCCCCAGCCTCCTGTTCCTCTCTCCCCTCAGTATGTCAGGAAATCAGTTCGTTTTGTGATTTCCTGGCCACCCAGGACGGACAGTCCTTAGATTTGGGCTTGCCTCTCTTCTTGGCGGTGACCAAAATAATCTGCTTGATCTGCTTCAACACCTCCTACAAGAACGAACACCCTATAATGAAGACCATCCAGACATACAACGATGGCATCATGGAGTCTCTGGGCACGAACAGTATAGTAGACATATTCCCTAAGCTGAAGGTAAGGATGAGAACAGGCCCTACCTTCAGGTCCCGGTAGACCCTGACAGCTTCCCCAATTCTTCCTCCTACTGCCCAGCACCAGACTCGCCTTTTTCTTTTTCTTTCTTTTTTTCTTTTCTTTTTTAAAAAAAATATATTTTATTGAGTTTTTACAGAGAGGAAGAGAGAGGGATAGAGAATTAGAAACATTGATGAGAGGGAAGCATTGATCAGCTGCTTCTTGCACACCTCTTACTGGAGATGTGCCCGCAACCAAGGTACATGCCCTTGACTGGAATCGAACCTGGGACCCTTCACTCTGCAGGCCGGTGCTCTATCCACTGAGCCAAACTGGTTTCGGCTGGACTCGCCTTTTTCTTGACCACCGTGGCCACAGTGATCTTTGTCTTCTCTGCTCTTAAAACTTTGCTGCTTCTCTAGATGCATGTTATACGCATAATAATGGGTCATATCTATTTATGGTCATGTGCCAGTATTGAGCACTCTACATGCATTCATCATGGCATTCCCCTTGGAGGTAGTTTTTTTTTTTTTTTTTATCCCCATACAGATGAGAATACAGGCTTTGAGAGATTAAGAAACTTGCCCATGGCTTCAGACTCAAGTGTATCTTACAGTTAAAGGCTGAGCACACCACAGAGCCTGTCTACTGAGTAAACACCAGTGCTTGATGTTTGGTTGAATAGGGAGGGGGAAGTGGAGGCCAATCCCAAACAAGGGGTGGGGTTGGAGAGATTGAGGCTACCCAGACCTCTGCCTTTCCCATTCTGTGTTCCCGCCTTGCCTTCCATTTTGGTGGAAGGTTGGGGTTGGAAAGGGAACTCGTCCGAGACAGAAGGCGAGTATCTCCCCCAGGAGGGATTCTGGCAGCTGTCGAAGCAGAATGCAGGAGAGATGAATTTGAAATGCCTCTCTGCTTTCCAGATTTTCCCCAACAAAGCCCTGGAAACAATGAAGAATTGTACTAAAATGCGAAATGAGTTGCTAACTGAAATCTATGAAAAACATAAGGTAGGTAATGGTGCAGAAGAGACTGCCAGTTAGGTTGAAAGTATCGTGAGACCAGGATTGGGGTCCATTTTTAACATGTAGCATCGCCAGAAGCTAACAGAGAACCTGGCATAGTAGGTGCTCAATAAAAACTGATTTAAATCATGAATAGGGGTGGGGAAGTGAGGAATTGAAGAGGATCCTAGAAGGGACCCATCTACCACCTCAGATTTACAGAGGACCTAGAGCTGCCTCACCTCCACAAGCTCATAGGTCCTGATTAGACTCGCCTGGTCCCCCACTTCCAAGTGGAAGCAGCTTTTGTATCTCCAGCCTAGGATGGAAGTGTGGGAGGGTGCTGCAGATGGGGATCCTTCGTTCTCACATTTCCCAACTTGACCCAAACAGAAGAACTTCAGCAGCAACTCTGTCACCAACCTAGTGGACATACTGATCCAAGCCCAGATGAACTCAAGCAATAACAACACCGGCTCGGACCAGGAGTTAAAGCTGCTTTCGGATCGACACATTCTTGCCACAATAGGCGACATCTTCGGGGCCGGTTTGGAGACCACCACCTCTGTGGTGAAGTGGACGGTGGCCTTCCTGCTGCACCATCCTGAGGTGGGCTTCTCCTTACTGCTGTTCCCAACCACTCCTGGTACCACTCCTGGTACCAACTCTGGCGAGAGTGAGAGCAAGACAGGGAGAGGGAGGGAGGGAGGGATGGAGGGAGAGAGGGAGAGAGGGAGGGAGGGAGGGAGGGAGAGAGAGAGAGAGAGAGAGAAAGAGAGAGAGAGAGAGAGAGAGAGAGAGAGAGAGAGAGAGAGAGAGAGAGAGAGAGAGAAATACTCCCAAGCCTTTTATGCAGATGACTAGACTGCTCCCTCTGTCCTTACCACACAGCGGTTGGCTCTGGCCCTCGGATGGAGCTCCTCATCTTTGGGAAGGAAAGCCTAGGCTGCAGAGCCACTGCAGGGAAGGGTCTGGACCAGCTCTTCTACTTTATTTTAATGTTTTTATTGCTTTTCAGAGAGTGGAAGAGAGAGAGAGAGAGAGAGAGAGAGAGAGAGAGAGAGAGAGAGAGAGAGAGAGGCACTAAAAGTGAGAATCATTGATTGGTTGCCTCCTGTACGCCCCCTCCTGGGAGAAGAGCCCACAACCTGGGCATGGGTCCTGACCAGGAATCAAACCCGTGACCTCCTGATCCATAGGTTGATGTTCAACCACTGAGCCACACTGTCTGGGCAAGGGCCAGCTCGTCTAGATGTGACAGCAGGATTCTTCTAAGTCCCTGCCTCTCCCGGACTTAAAAGCACTCTGGTCACATCCGCCCTTCTCTGGCCCCCAGCTGCAAAAGAAGATCCAGGAGGAGATTGAACAGTACGTAGGTTTCGGCCGCACGCCAACCGTGAGTGACCGGAACCACCTCGTGCTGCTGGAGGCCACCATCCGGGAGGTGCTTCGCATTCGCCCCGTGGCCCCTACGCTCATCCCCCACAAGGCTATCGTTGACTCCAGGTATGCCTTCCCCCCCAACAACGTCCAGCCCTAAGAGGCACTCAGCACTGCTTGGCAGATCCTCCTCCACTCCCTCAGCCCCCCACCTTGCTGATCCACCAAGAGTCAACCACTGACTGGCAGTCCTCTCACCATGACCCTACTGATCAATGTATCCCCCACTCACTAACGCACAAGGACTGACCCACAGACCTACCTGCCCTCCCTCAGAGCTGCCTGCTGCCCTGGGGACACGGGGTCTGCGCTGGAAGACCGGTCCTTTACGCTCCTACTCTGCCCAGGAGCCACCACACAGTGCACCGGCACAACATGCATACGCAGTGGGCCCTGACAGATGCAGATAGCCACATACAATGTGACACATAAGTGCACGTCAGGAAGAGAGGGCTGGAGAAGAGCCGGATTAGTACTGAGTCTGGCAGAAGCTGAGAAAAAGGAGAGGGTGTGGGCGTGAGGGCGTAGAAGGCTCTTTTCCCCAGGCTGGGGTGGGGGAGTGGAGGGAGAGAGACTGTGGAGACTCAGGGCTGAACAAGTGGCTAAGCAGGTGGGGAAGGACAATATTCCAGATCCCTCCTTTCCTTTCCTTCCCTCTCGGGCAGCATCGGCGACTTTGCCATTGACAAGGGCACAAACGTTGTCATCAATCTGTGGGCACTGCATCACAATGAGAAGGAATGGCACCGGCCCGACCAGTTCATGCCCGGTGAGTCCGTGTCCTGTCTGTCCTGCCACCGGGCCATGCAGCCAACCTGGTCTCTGTGCTCTGCCACTCCAGCGCTTCCCCTCTGCTAAGGTGGCAACTAGCAAACGCCTGCCTCCAATTACAGGAAGCTGCTTGACAGCCCATCCCACCTAGCCTTACCCGCCCTCTTCCCAGCTGGGTTTCCTTCTTGCCCCTCCCACCATCTGCAAACCTTCTCCTCTGAGAAGCCCCCTAGGCATATGCTCCCCGTGAACTGGGCCCCTCCTCCCCTCCGATGGTGGCATTGTCCATGGGTCGCGATACCCCTCCTTTCGATCCTTCCTGAGTAGTTCATCTCCTCTGTGTGATCAGGGGCTACCTGAGCGCAGGCTGTATCTGTCCTCAGGTTGGGGGTCCTCTACTTACTCCAGCCCTGGCCCCTGCTTGATGCATCCCCCGTGCCCGCCCGCAGAGCGCTTCCTGGACCCCACTGGGAGCCAGCTCATCTCGCCGTCCTCAAGCTACCTGCCCTTCGGGGCGGGACCCCGCTCCTGCGTAGGGGAGAACATGGCCCGCCAGGCGCTCTTCCTCTTCATGTCCTGGATGCTGCAGAGGTTCGACCTGGAGGCCCCGGATGACGGGCAGCTGCCCTCCCTGGAGGGCATCCCCAACGTGGTCTTCCTGATCGACTCTTACAAAGTGAAGATTAAGATTCGCAAGGCCTGGAAGGAGGCCCAGGGTGAGGGGAGCACCTAGAAGTGTGCTTTCCCTGTGTGGCCCCACAGCACAGGGTGAGAGGTGTCACTCCACCCTCCCGGCCCTTCCTCCCTCCTCCGGGCCCACCCTGCCTTCTTTCCCACCCCGCAGCCCTGACAGTGATGTGCTTAGGTGTGTGTGTGTGTGTTTTTTTAAGAAGGTCCCTGAACTTATTATATTCCTTACTATCAGTGTTACCCTCCTTTGATAAAAAGAAAAAGGGCCCTGAGTAGCTTATTCATTTAATTTGTTCACTCATTCTTTCAATAAATATTAAGCACCTCCTAAGTGCCACTCACTGTCCCTGGACACTCAGGATTCCTGGTCTCCTGAAGCTTACATTTCTAAGGAGAACTAACAAATAGATCAGCATTTCAGAGACTCATAAGTCCTCTGAAGTCACTGATACCGGGTGATGGTGATTTGAGAAGAGAATGGCAGAGGTGGGGAGTGGCTACTGCAAGCAAGTGGTAGGAGAAGGTGCAGAAGACTTGGGGGACAGTGCCCCCTAGCGGAGGGAGCAGCAAGGGAGTTCTCCAGGCGGGAGGTCAGTGTGGCTGGAGCAGAGCAGAGCAAATGAAGGGGAGAGTGTCCCTGATGAGGCAAGACTGGAGACAGGGGCCAGGTCCCATGGAGCCTTTGAAATTAGCAGGAAGGGATCTAGGTTTTTATCCCAAGAGTGCCAGGAAGTCACTGCAGGGCTTAACATGTAAGTGGAAAGGTCTGGTTCATACTTTACTTTTTAAAATGTATTTTTGCCCTAACCAATTTGGCTCAGTGGATAGAGCATCAGCCTGTGGACTGAAGAGTCCCAGGTTCGATTCCGGTCAAGGGCATGTGCCTTGGTTGCAGGCACATCCCCAGGAGGGGGTGTGCTGGAGGCAGCTGATCGATGCTTCTCTCTCATCGATGTTTCTAACTCTCCCTCTCTCTTCCTCTCTGTAAAAAATTTATTTCAGAGAGAAAGGGAGATGGTGAAAGAGATAGAAACATCAATGATGAGAGAATCATTGATCGGTTGCCTTCCCCTACTGTGGATTGAGCCCACAACCCAGGTATGTGCCCTGACCAGGAATTCACCTGTGACCTCTTGGTTCATAAATTGATGCTCAGCCACTGAAGCACACAGGCCAGGCTGGTTCACATTTTAAAAAGATTATCCTAGTTGCTGAGTGGAGATTTACCAGTGGAGGGATGAGAGTGGTGGCAGGGAGGGAGGAGAAGGAGGTTGCTGTGCTGGCAACAGCAGTGGAGATGGTGAGAAGTGGTGGGATTGAGTTATATTTTGAGAGTAGAGCAAGGGATCTTGTTTGCTTTGATGCAAACAGTCATCAGCTGTATGTGCCTCAATGATATGGCTTAGAGGGAGTGCGTGTAATCCACAAACTCAACCCACCCCTACCCATCACTCTTGTCTTGGTCCCCAGTGACCAGCAGTTCTCCTTTTCCTTGTCCTGTCCAGTAGCCACTGCCAGGACAGGGCTTCCAAGGCAGCCTTCTGCTAAGGTGCCGGGCTCTGCCCCTGCTCCCCACTCCGCAGGGAGTCTATAAATGCCTTGCTAGACAATGGAACCCAGCCCTGGCCCATGTGGCTCAGTTGGTTGAGCATCATCACATACACTGACAGGCTGCAGGTTGGATTCCCTGTCAGGGCTTGATCGCCAGTAGGGGGCGTGCAGAAGGCATCAAAGTTTCTCTCCTTTCCTCTCTAAAATCAATATAAAAACATAAAAATAAAAATAAAAAAATAAAAAAAAACACGGACTTTTTCAAACCTTGGCCACTGGCCAGTCTGCAAGTGAAAGAGGTCCCTGGAAAAACTGACCCTGCTCTTTAGCCTAGAGAGAGACCTCAATCCCAGCTCCCTGGCGCCAGCCAGGCCAGGGTCAGATCATCAACATCGTGTCCTTCCCTTCAGGCTGGGGAGGGGCTCTGGAAGGACCAGCAGGGCAAGGCTGAGACCATGCCTGGCCAAGTTCTCAGAGGGAAGAAATAAAGGGATTCCTTGGGAGGAAGGAAGAACAAGGTTTGCCATTACCCCTTCCTTCACAAACTCTGTAAACCCAGTGGCAGTAGACCATTCCTTACTGTCCCTCCCACTCAGCCCTGGCCTTCACTGGCCAGTGACCCCGGGGCCTTGCTTAAGGGCCCACAGGAGAGTTTGTGGGCTGCTGTGGCTAACCCAGCCCCACCATAAGCAGCTTGGAGAGATGTGGACACCACAGTGAGCTCATGGGAAAGAGTTAAACTGGATATCCCCTCCCTCCTGCCCCACTCTGGTGCCAGGCTCGATGGGTTGGAGAAGAGTTAAGTATTCCAAATTTGCTCAAAATTTGAAAAGCATTTTACAGGCTAGTGATGAACAGGTAAACAGCTAGAGGAGCATCTGTGTCCTCTATAGAAGCAGTGGGTGAGTGTTACTGGGATGGAAACTACTCCAACTGTTGAATCAGATCACTGAATGGCAGGGAAATGAGACTAACCTTTCAATTTGAAGATAACACTGAGGGCCAATGGGGTAGCAGAGGGTGGGCAGGTGAGGGACTTGCCCTAAGCCACACCCCTACTAGGCAGCAGGGCTGGGACCAGAACCCAGGATCTCAAAATGCAGGATGAGGAGTGGCCTTGCTCTCCTACCTGTCCCACGTCCATGCAGAAAGGCTCGGGTGTCTAACTGGGGAGGGTACAAAGCTCAGTCAATGTCCTTTCAGGAAATGACCTCATGAACTCTGTTTCTTACCCAACGGCTCTTCCCCTGCCTGAAGGGCCTCTTACCCCTTACCTAAATCCTCCCACCTGAATCTCAGGGAAGCCCTTCTCCAGGTCATGCTTCTCAACCCCTACCCCTCGGCTTCTGTTCCCTGATACTAAATCCCGACTGCATCTGAGCACCTTCCTGGGCCTAAAATGGGTGTGGTGTCCCCAAGAGACACTGCCTACCTCTCTATCTCTGGAGTTCAAGACTGAGCCCTCTCATGTTCTATACCCTGCATGTGGCATCTGGCAAATAGGTTAGACACACAAGAGGACTGAATTAAATGCTCTAAGTTTAACTGGCTAATTGGTCCAGTGATAAACAGACTCCATCTCCTTGTGCAGAAGGAAGCCCAGATCTTTGGGTAAGCTGGAAGGTCTTTGCCAATAACTCAGTCAGTCACTTTTCCAGCCTTAGACTGCTCTTAAACAGTGATGTGAGATAAACAAACACTGAACAAAACCAGTGCTCTGGGGCTGGTGGTGAGGAATAACCCTGATGTGTCATATGTGCTGGTTACATGTGGACACCCCATCATGACCGATTTCAAGCCACCAATGTGATGTCACGGACCAGAGAGTTGGGAATAGATGCACAGTTTTTATTTATCACCCGTGCACCAGTAGCTCACTGCCACCCTCCAGTAGCTATCTGCCCGCTGCCCTGCCCTCCTATAGTTCCCCCTGTCCCTCTCCCCTGCTCCCCTCATGCCCTGTCTCCTCCTGTAGCTCACTGCCCCACCCTCCTGCTGACCCATGATCTGGTTGTTATGCTTCACGGTGTAACAACCATTTGCATATTACATCTTTATTATATAGGATAGCAAATACCATTTACTACAGCTCGTAAAGTTCCTGAAAATTTAATAACCAGCTCTTGTGAGCTAAGAGTTGGCCCCCTAGGAGAAATGAGCTGCCCTGTCCTTTAGAAGAGCCGCTTCCGGTCTGAGGGCAGGACCTCTTCCCTGGTCACCTTGGTGTGCAGTGTGGGTGATGAGAGTGCATGACTGTTCTGGTCTGCCCCTTGTGGCCACAAAACCTGAAGCAAATGAGGAGTCTTCTCACCAGTCATACTTATGGATATAAACATCCAACTTTATAGGACAGGAAGCCCATTGCAGAGTGGGGTGGAGAGAGCACCAACGAGGACCTGATCACCCAGGTTCTAGTCCCCAGACTCTCCGGTTTTCCTAGCCCTGGATCTTAGACCCATTGCTAGCTTCTTGAACCCTACTTTTCACAGCTGTCCAGTGGGGCAACTTACCACCTGTGCTGCCCATTATCTGAGGCTCTGGTGAGGATGAAAAGCAGAAAGGGCTGTGTGAGCAGGAGAGTTCCACACCAACCGGAGTTACAGAAGGTAGGAAGTCAGGCTGTGGAGGCAAGTTTGGTGTTGTCATTCACAGACCAAATGACCAAGGGCAATTTACTTGAACTTCTAAAACCTCAGTTTTCTCATATGTAACATGGGTGACTTAGGTGTATCACCCTCAGTGTTGGTGCCTCAGTAAACACTGGCTTCATTGTCACTGCCTATATCCAGATCCACAAAGCAAGTCCTTCCCTAAGGGTTTTGTACAAACCTCCCAAAGGACACAGGCTTGGTCAGGAGGGGCAGGGTGTCCAGATGGTCCATCAGGACAGGACCTCCAGGCCCTTCCTCTGGCAGCGGGGAAATGGGTGGAGAGCCCAGAGACAGACTTTCCATGGCTCCCACACGGAAGGTGGTTTGTTACATTTTCCAGGGCTGGTTTCTTGAGACTTCTTGGTGAGTTGTGCAGTGAGGAGCAACTTCAGATCTAACATCCTCCTCTCCCCCTCACAAGCCACCCAAAGCTCTTTATCTCCTCAGAGGAAGACCAAAACACTCTTGCAAAGGAAAGCCACAAAGACCCAGAGCTTAAACTCTGACAATTGTACGGTGTTTCCAAGAGGTAACACCTTCCTGTGGTAGTGAAGAGTGATCTGCAGCAGGCACCACCGCTGTCCCAGGCAGGAGGCCACTGCGGCACCGAGGGGCTCCGCTGGCGGAGCCTGGCTGGGCGTGGGGGCTCTGAGGGCTTATGATAAGGCAAGGGGGAGGAGAAAAAGGGATAAAGTAGCCTTTTAGGGCACTGGTGTCTGGCTCACCTTCATCATACTACTCCCCTGTTCAGTACACCTTTGAAAAGACGAGTTCTTCACGTGACACCAACATTGCAATGGTTGCACTGACTCGTGGATTGCCTGAGCTTTGGAGTCAACTG